TCAGTGGAAAGATGTCGGGAACATACAAAACCAACCAGTTCCTCTTTCTACCATATTGCTCAAGTACAGCACAGAAATTGAAGGGCAGCATACATGGAACAGATTAAAAGAAGCTGATTTAAAGTATTTTATTTACTGGTTCAGAAGGTTTAGGCATAGATCAGCAAGTCAGAGGTAAGGAGAGCCACAAAGCCCAGGTGACAACACGGGTGACAACAAGGCACCGTGTTTTCCAGCAGTGCTTTGAGGGTTTACAAAACCAGGAGGCTTTACAGGGGGAATAAATCCAGCTTTGTGATTCCTTTTGAGAGAGGGGGAAACACCATCACCTTTAGTCCGTGATGGAAACTGGGGGCAGCTGGGATGTGTGCAGCACCCATGATGTCCCCACAGGCTGGTCCTGCACTGGACTCTCCCTCCTCACCCTCCTGTCCTCGGAATGAGAAAGTGGCCGGACACTCCTGGCATGTGCCGGGAAAGGAAGGACACTCCCCTTCAACATGGGGGACTGTGATTAGATTCCAGTCCCTTATCTAAGATCAGGACAGGGAGCCTCCGTCCAGCCAAACACCTCAACCCAAGCCCAGTTTGGCCCCTCTTCCACTCTCCCTCCAGGAGACACAATGCTCTGTCCTCACCCATCCCTCACACACTGCTTGGCTCCGGGCTGGCTGAACCCAGAGGAGAGGGGTGGCCTGCCCAGCCCCAGACCTCTTCGAGGGACACGCTGTTTCTTCCATCCAGGGATTTTTTCCTATCAGCTGACTCAGTCAGGATCACATGGGCAGTGAGGTCTGGAATAGCTCGTTATTTCAGGATGCCTGGACGACTACACGCGTGTTAGTAACATCTGCTGAGGCACTGGCTCACCCAAGCAAGTTCTTATTCCCTGGGCACTTCTTATCCTCATGGCCCAGCCCTCCCTCCCCATTTCCAGACTTGTGGGGAAGCTCCCGTGTGCTGGAGCAGCCCTGGCAGTGATGGAGATCTTTGCATCCCACAGGGAGCTGTGGGTGCCGGGTAGGGGGTGGCACCCTGATGCTCTTGGATTTCACTGGGAGTGGCACAGCCTGCAGGATGGGCAGCAGCGAATATTTGGGATTGTGACAGAGATTTTTGGCCCCCAGGGGTTTTCAGGACAGATCCTCCCTGGTGGTTCCGGTGATGGTGAGGGATCAGCAGCAGGGAGGACGGGCTCGGGTCAGGTCCTTTGGAGGACACTGGGGTTGTTTGGGGCCAGGGCAGAGCTGTCGCTCAGGGGACAGCAGCTGCCTCTGGGCATCACATGGGACCTGCTGGATAACCCCTGGTTCTGCAGCCCTGGGAGAAGGGAGACCCTGATCCCAAGCTTGAGGAGGGACAGAGCTGGTCCCACAGCACTGGTGTGCCCAGGGCCATGAGGGCTCACTGCTGGACTCGTCTGCTCCTGCGGGGGGGTTTCTGCAGAACTCTGCCCAGAAATGCAAAACTTTCCCATTCTCCCTCTTCCCTGTGCTCCCAGTGCAGGTCTCTTGCCTGGAGGGGGTTGTTCATGCGCCTTTCACCAGCCCTGGCAAGTGGCTTTTCACATGGATTCACATCCCTCGATTTCACATCCCTGTGCTTCTGAAAATTGCCCAGGCTGGAGCCACATGGAGCCTGGGAAGGAAAAGGACCTTGGGCAGCCACCTCACAGGCTCCTGTAACCTCTGCAATTCTCCTCGTCAGTAGGGTGCAGATTAAACATTAAACCCTTAAAAACATCCTGTGCCTCAGAAAACCAGTGTGAAGGCAGGGCAGGAGTGACTGTGCAATGCCATGAACCCGTACCCTTGTCGTGTGTACAAGGAAACACAGATCCAGCCCCTGCAAGAAGGTTCTGGCTGCACGAGAGACAGATCACAGCAAAGGTCATGAGACACAAATCCGGCCAAAGGCTTCTGCCTGGAGCTTGTTTGTTCTGGTTTACAGGACAAGCGCCTGCCCTTCCACTTCCTTTGGGCAGCCCTGGACCCTCTTCTTTGCCAACAGCTCTTGGGACAGCCTGGGAGCCGGGGCTGGCACTGGCTGGAGGTTGCTCTGACCCAGGGAATGGGCTGGAGGGAACATCTGCTCCCGTGAGCCAAAGGAGCAGCACATCTCCCTCCTAAATGTGGGCTAGAAACACTCCCCAAGGGGCCAGTCTGAGCTGGAGGCAGCTCCAACACTGTCAGAGGGCTGAGCACAAGGCAGGCAGCTGGCTGAAAAGAGAGGTGCTCCCACTTTTCCTTGGAAAGTCCTGGCTTGCCCCTACCTGCCCCCCAGGGCTCTGTTGAACACATTCATCAGATTTCCTCAGCCAGTCAGTTGCTCCTCCTGTGGTTTCGGCTTCTGCAATCTCAAAAATCTGTTCATGAGTCTGTTATTGCTCATTAGGGAAGGAAACTGTCTCGAGGAGACCCTCACCCTCAGGAATGCTGTTAGTTACGGCCCTGCAGTCCTTGGAACTGAACTGCTCTGAGTTCAGTTTGTAAGTGGGAGTCAACCCCAAGGGCACAACCCATGGGGGGCTGCAAGGAAATGCTTTCCCCCACAAGAGAACATGTAAGACCTGTGGCTGATGTTCCTGGAGTGCAAGAAAAGCCTAATGAACCCAAGAGAGAGGTTATGGCTGTTGTTGAGGAAAAGAGCATCCACAAGTATTTCTGTGAGCTGTGGAACTGCTGAAATCCATTTTCCTCTGGCTTTGTCTTGAGGGTGGGTAACTGGGGGGGCTCTGCTCCCCAGCAGGGTCCCAGCCCTGCCATAGCCCTTCCCTGTGGGACAAGTTGTTGCTCTGTAGGATTCAGAGAGCAGACAACCTGATTAGATTTGTGGTATTTGTTGGGCTTGAATTCAGAGCCTTATGAAGCTGAGTGTGCCAAGCACAGGGTGTACTCAGACCCCCGCAGCAGGTAAGGGATGCAAAAGCCCAAGTGCAGGGAAAGGGACTGGCTCCCTGCAGCACAGCTAATAGCTTCCCAGAGTAAGAGGGCAAAAGCGGGTCCTCACATGGACCCAGAGGGATTTAGGGCAGCACGAGGACGAATGTTTAGGGAAGAGGAGTGGACTGTGTCCCAGCAGGAGAGCGCTGGCTGCAGCCAGCTGGGCCTGCGGAGCTGGTGGAGCCAACGCTGGGGCTGCTCTGGAATGATCACAGGTCAAAAATGGGCACTCTCAGCTTGTGGCTCAGAGGATCCAGCATCACCCAGGCCGGGAGGATGAGGTACCAATCACTGGCTCACTGGGTTTCCTCTTCTCCCTCCGGGTTTCCAGAGCTGCCTCCTCCTCTGCTGGAGGGAACAGAAACCTTCCAGTCAGTGGCAGGTGGAGGGCACAGCCACAACTCTGGAGGACCACTCAACCTCGGAAAGAGAGGTGAATCACATTGCAAGCCATGAACTGAAGCTGTGTCAGCAATGGGAGGCACGTCCCCAGGTTCAGGGTGTTCAGACAGTCCTGGTGTCTTATCCACTTTTGCCCAAGAGCAGCAGGACAGCAAAGCAGGAGTGGAACACGCTCAGATCTCCCCCAGCTGAAGTCTGGATCCAGCTCCACGGAGCAGCTGTTTGTGTGGCCTGAAATCAGAGTCAGCAGCAGCTCATGGCACCGAGCACGGCCAAGGAGCGGGGCCACCACCCTCCAGCGCCTCAGGCTCCGCAGCCCAAAGCGGTGCTTGGGAAGGGCAGGCCTGGAAACACCCAACAGGGGGCTTGAAAAAGCAGGAAACCCTTGAAGTTTGCTGCCAGAGGCAATGTGGTGCCACCAGCTGGTTATAAAACATCTCCCAAGGAAACGGGTAACTGTGAGACATTTACAGAAAAGCCTGCACAAAAAAATCCAGCAAAAAAGGCACAAGTAGCAAACATCAGGCTCCTCTCACGCCGCAGCACCTTGGTGAGACAGAGCACAGCCTTCCTTTCCCAGGAGTTCAGGCTCCTGCAGCTGCTCCCAGCCCTGTGAGACATCACCCACCTTCCCACCATCCTCCAGGCAGCACAGAGCTCCCACTGCCTGATGCAACCAAAGACATTCCCCTTCAAGCTCTCAGTCACTGTGAGGTCCCAAACCAGCCGCCCGCACTGCTCAGCTCCTCACGACCCTCAGTTACACCTTCCTGCTACTAAGCACCTTCCTTATTAAGGCCCTTAAGGGAGTTGTAAAATTGTGATTTGTGGTGTTTAAGGCTAAGGTCACTTTTAAGGAAACCATGTGAACAAAGTCTATTCACACCACTTTTCCCTGCTCCTGTCTCTTTTGACAAAGAAGGACAGTCTGATGGTGTATACCAAATTCTGGGACTTCTGGCTTGCAAGAATGGATTTACCGGTGACGGAGGGAGAGGAACAGGCTGAGAGGAACCTCTAGTGGCCGCGGGCTTTCTGTGCAGCAAATCCTCACGGAAGTGCAGAGCTGGTTTGAGAATCCTCTGGGAATTTTCTGCCAGCTCAGCAATCCCTCTTTTCCACACTGCATTGCCTTAAAACCACAGCTCTGCTCTTGAAAACATCCATGTACGGCAGCACGGGAAGCCCAGACTCGTGTATGAGGTAGGTATGGCGGGGGTTTATTTTTTTTTTTTGGAAAAAGGAGTTTTGTTTAAACCCCAAAATTTAGTGGAATTCCACTTTTAAAATTTACATCCTTGGTCACAAGGACCATCCTGTGGTCACAACTTAGAGGTGTTGGCGGTCAGAAGACGCCTCTAAGCTGCATTTTAAACTCAGGCTGGGCTGGGACAAACCATGCTCCTGAGCCCTGCAAAAGGAAGAAGGCTCATGTCAGAATTTGCCAATCAAGAGGTTTTTTACAGTCAGCTTGGTACCTGGTCTTAGTGGAAGTCCTGTGAGTTCTGAAACAATCAGGAACCATGTAATCACCTCACCACAGTGCAGAGTCCTGCCCCAGAACACACACTCCAGGTCTCTCTGTTTCAGGGTGCCTTTTGCTATGAGCTCGACAGGAAGGAAAAGACCCGAAAGAAGGACAAGGTCAGCAGCCCCCACAGTCAAACACCTTTAATATAATCCAAGATTCCGCACAGTGACAAAAATACCATCGACGTAGGGCAGCGATTCCAAGGGAGGGTAGAAAACCAAATCAACAGCACACCACCACTCATCTGAGAGAACATCACCCCAAATAGTGCACACACTCAACATGACTGTGAATAGTCTGAAATTCAGGACAGAGAGCTGGCACAAAGGCGTCCCAAGAGCCGGGTGCGCACGCCTTGGATGTCACTTGCTGGAGCTGCAGCTCAGCTCTTGGTCCCTGCTGGCCACAGCATCAGTGTCCCTGTGCTCAGCGGGCAGAGGACGTCACTCCCCATCAAAAATGAGGATGGATTTCCAAGGAGAAAGTACACAAATTCAATGCACACACACAAATAGCAGTTGAAGGATCTGCACGTGCCCCTCCGTGGGTAACCACAGATCTCTATTGGCATGGTTTAACTCTTCAAAGAACAGTACTGGCCCCACTCCATTTTGACTTCAGATATGTCACCAGAGAGGAAATGTGAGTTTTTCCCATCCTTTTGTTAATTTGCCTCTGTTAACAGGAGGGTGATCAATGTGCTTCAATCAGAAAAGGGCGCATGCCAAAGTGCAGGAGCTGTAGGAATGGTGGCTCAGGAGCAGTGAAGTCTGTCCAGCCTGGCTGCAGCTGGAAACAGTTCCCATGGCCTGCAAACAGCCTGAATGTCATTCACAATGAAGTCAACTTTCTGATGTCAGGAGTTTTGAATCTTTTCTGCTTTTAAGAGAATATGCCACAGCAAAAGCAGGTTCTCAGGAAGGCAGACATGCTCTTGCAGGACTGTGGTGGCTGAGGCCCAGCCCAGCTCCACAAAGGGCTCATTCCCTGACTCTGGCACTGCTGTCATTGCTGCCAGGGGGACCACAAAGAGGGACTACAAACTACACCAACACTTGTTCAGAGCTGCAAGTAACAACTGACTAAAGCACTTCACAGCTGGAGCACTTGAGATAACTTGAACCTTCTGATAAGGTGCCCATTGCAGTCATTGTCTTCAAAACCAGCCTGTGGCCTCCACTTCAAGGGCTTTGCATGCAACAAACTGTAACAAACTTTGATAAACACTTGGTCAGCAACAGCCATTAACTACGGAGAGGAAAAACACCTCTTTGGTACTGGAAAGAAGCCCAAGTCTTGTTCCTCTAAGGTGTCTCACAACCACTACAGGAATGACAAATGAGGATTTGCATGTGACAAGGAACGTCCACTTTTACTGAACACAAGGACTGTGTGAAGATGCCACAGGACTGTACAATTCCTCTCCCAGGATTATTGCAGCCTCTTGCTTATCCAGGCTATTCCAGTTCAAACCACACAGACCAGTCCCACAGGATGCCTTTATCAAACCAAACCAACCCTGTGCCTGGTGTCCAGGACTGCTCCTTGGATTCTCACACAACAATGGATTTCTGAGCAACCAGGAGTTATTTCTGATTCCAAACACCCAAATCACTGTGCACTAAGAACATGGCAGGGAAAGGAACATGTTTCTGAGGCATGTTTCTTAGGTATGGCTTAAGATAAGGTATTGCCATTGCTGCATCCAGTGGGGATGGGAGTGAGGAAATCCCATCACACTGCAGCAAAGATTCTGCAGATAAAACCTATTCATTTGGAGTGTAATATTCAACTCCCACAAATCCTGCCAACATACAGCTCCAGGGAATTTCTGACAACAACCTGGAAATTAATGCTATTGTGGTTTTGAGTTGGTCTTATCTTTTTTTTTACCAAGGGCACCTCACATAAGCTCAAAAGAGAAGATGCAGACAAAAGTGAAAACTCACCTACACTGAGGAGAACCCACTAAATGGGATACATATTCTGAGTAATTTCTTTTGTCTGAGGAAGATTGTGGGATACCTGCAAGGGCAAAGTGACACAGGTGGCTTTGAAAAATATAACAGAAGGCAGCATCGGCCAGTGTTTGCAAAAAAAGCCTGATATGACTGAGTTCTTCCACCTAAATACATCAGTATAAATGAATTATCTCTCCCAGTTCAATCAAGCCTATGGTAAACCTGTGAAAAAGACAGCTGGACAGAACTCACTGAGTGGGAAGGAGGAGGAAGGGAGGCCCAGTGCTGACCCTCAGACAGGGTGAGAGAATCGAGTTGCAAACACAAATGGTGCAAAAGACACCCTAAACTGTTCTGCACACAGGCCAATAATTCAGAGAGTTATTTTGACAAAAATTCAAAATGGCACCTTAAGCAGCAAATCATATTTTTGCCAAGTTTGTTCACATACTCTGCAAGAGGCAGCCCTCTCCCAAGCCATTTGGGATTGTCACTGCTGCCAAGCTGGACAAGCCACCATCACCAAAATCTCACCTCTGAACATGAACGTGACCCTGTCCAGCCTAACTTTTAACATTACTAATGCTTAATTTTTCCTTTTAATGAAGTTCAAGTTTAAGTAGCAATAACATTTCTCCCACTTTACAGCAATTTTTTAGACTGAACTGTTGAAAGAATCAGCAATTTCTCTTTCCCTTCATTTTACCTGTTGTGATAAATCTTACTGGTGAGTTATTCACTGAAGCTTTGAGCATCCTGTTGTATGCTCTGGACTACTCACTGATGTTTATGTATTTGTGCTTCATGTGGGAGAAACTCCACAGTTGACAGTGCAAGTTTTGGGTAAAGACACTGGGAAATTGCCTCCAGATATTACATGCCACCTGCCATGCCCAAAGAGGACTGTAGGAATGCTCAGGAATGAGCAAAAGCCTCTCTGCATCACCCAGAACCTACCAGAACATGCTGGCAGGAAACTGCTACTTTTTCCAGGATCTTCCTCCCACCTTCCTTCCTTCACTTGTGGGGAGAGCATGAAGCTCCTGTGTCACCATGTCTAACTCCCCAAACACACAGAGATATCACCACAGTTATTCTCAGATTTAAAGCTCCATTTCAGCTCCCAGGAAGGATGAGGAAAGGGCTGTTTCTGAGCACTGCAGATATGCTCTGGCATCCAGTTGCCTGACACACAAGTCAGTCTGAAGTCATCATACTGATATGGAGTAGGACTGTAAACAAAATCAAGCCTTGGAGATATGACTGTCCAGCCTGGATGCCTCTCTCAGAGGCAGACTCCTCAAACAGATACAACTGGGACGTGCCAAGGGTTCTGGTACAAGGAGAGGATTAGCAATCATGGTTCTGGAGTGAATCAAGAGCTTCATAACTTAATGGTACTGATTTACCTGCACAAAGTCTGCTCAGAGTAGGGCAGTGGTTTTATGAACTACTGTTCTACATCAAATCTGAGGTCATCAGTGTTCTCTGTGAGAAGACATTTGATATTCCTGGCTCAGGCCAGGTACTGGTGCCAGTGGCTCAGAGCTCTGCAGCACAGCTCAGCCAGTGCTGTGCCTCCGAGGAACTGCAAACTCCAAACCTATCCCGTGATACGGACCTGTATCCACCTAGGATGGGTCTGAAGTCATCACATGTTCATTTCTACCTAATAACAGGGCCTGAATACAGAGCTCTAGAGGTAAAGAGACAAGGAGTTGACATTACTTCACCTTGACCTGTCTAAAACAGGAGTAAACAACTAGGCCCTGTATCCAAGTGCACCACTTAGGAATGACTGACAGCACCGAGCCCAGCAAAAAGGATGTTCCAACTTGGCTCCTGCCTTGGAATTTGCTGTGGGAATCCTAGGACAACTGAAAAACTAGTTGATTAATGACAGTCATGTCAACCATTCATGGTGTCTCTGAAGCCCCACACCTCCAGCACAGAGATCTGGAAATTTTCAGAGCACAGTGGCTGGTTATTGAAAGTGTTGCAGTGGCTGGTTCTCCCGTGGTTCAGATCTGCATCCAGGTACAGAGCCTGGCCATCACCTCCTCCTGGGAAGAGACAAAGAGAGGGTCAGAGGGGGTCTCTGCGTTTCTTAGCATGGGAAACAGCTATACAAAACCAAAATAAAGGAAAGACTTCAGTGCTTTTCTCATGCGAGTAAAGCCCTCAGTGATGTCTGAGAGCTCTCTTCAGGTGTAACAGAGTATGATCAAATGTAAAGGTTTTAAATGATAATATCAGAACTGGATAATTTCTTTTAATAATAACAAAGTAAAGTAATGCAGCTCAGTGAGAACAAGAAGCCTGACTCAAATACCTGTACTTAAGATTTGTTTTTCAGTGCTGGAGGATACTGGAAGCAACCAACTGCAAATTTTCCCTCCAGTTAAGAAAAACCAAATAATTCTGTTAGCAGTCAAAAATCAAAGGTGGGAGAAGAACAAGATCAGTAAGCAACAGTCTGGTCTTCTAAATCACTATAAAACATGTAAGAATTAAAAGTATTTTGATTATCTGTGGGTCTATGTCAAGGTTCACATTGCTTACAGTCAGAAAATGCAGAGAAGTGAAATAAAGTTAGACAGAAATATGTTAGGAAAACAAAAAGGAATATCTCCTATTGCTTATAGGGCAACCATCAAAGAACATCTACCAAAAACATCTGAGGAATCAGAAGGGTGGGAATTCTGGTCCACAGCTGGAGCTGTGTACAACACTCACTTCTCTGTATCTACCACCCAAGCCTGGATCTCTCTTATTCCTCCCTATCGTGTAGAATATGGTAAATATAAGTGACTCCCTTACCCAAGGCTGATAGGAAGAGCTGGTGGGACACATTACACTCTACAGCTCCCTGACAAGAGGGTGGAGCCAGGTGGGGGTCAGGATCTCTTCCCAGGGAACAAGGGACAAAATGAGAGGAAACGGCCTCAAGTTGTGCCAGGGGAGGTTTAGGTTGGATATTGGGGAAAATGTCTTCCTGGAAAGGGTGGTCAGGCCCTGGCACAGCTGCCCAGGGCAGTGATGGAGTCCCCATCCCTGGAGGGTCTTACAAGCTGTGTGAATGTGGCATGTGGGGACAGGGGTTAGTGGTGGCCTTGGCACTGCTGGGGGAGCAGCTGGATTTGATGATCTTAGAGAGCTTTTCCAACATGCTGCAGGGTGGGAAATCAGCCAACATTTGATATTATGGAGGAAATCACAGGCCAGTTGCTCTCCTAACAACTGTCAAGTGAAGCTTTTTGGGAAAAGGACAACTATGGTTTTATACCTGTTCCTTGTAAATCCCATTTAGGTGACAACATTACTGAGAAGGATTTTGCCAAAGTCAGTAGCATCACAGATCCAGTAAAGTTCCTGGAGAATTAACATGTTTTATAGTTTAGTCTGTGTTTCAAAAGCCTTGATGTAAAGTAAGTTCCTTTTTGAGAACTACTTCTCATCCTGAATTAGGCAGTTTGAAGGAACAGCTGTGCTTAAAGCCATGAGCCTTCTCTAAAACGCTTGCATGCAAGTTTTCCCACAGAAAAATTTTGCTGGGAAATAATATCAGGTTTTGGGCAGTTTTATCTCTAACTGCGGCGATACTGAAACAGATACAGGGGTCACCTGTATTTACCACATATCCGAGGTGGATAGGAAGAGCTGGGGTAGGATTTGTGCTCGGATTCTCACACCGACTCACCGACGATGATGCACTCGCTGCTGCCAGCCATGAACATGGAGGCAGTTTTGGAAGGCAGGTTGAAGTGCCGTGCTGACAGGAAGGGAGAGAGGCGATCCGAGGGCTCCGAGGGGCCGCTGCCGGAGGAGAGTGTGCTGGGAGCTGGGGAGGAGTGGTTCTCTGTCTCTGGGCCAGCCGTGGCCAGTTCTGGGTGCTTTATGATCACCCACTCGTAGCGTTCCACTTCTGGCTGCAGCTGCAGAGGGGCAGAGAGAGCAGGGCTGTAGTTAGTGCACACACTGCACAGAGCTCTGCCCAGCAAAGGACATTCCAGACCCTCGGTCGCCATCTGCACGGGCAGTGGGAAAGATTGGATCAACCCTTATTGAGGCCAGATGTTGTATTCTTCATTCCTTTGCTTTTTAGGTGATTGAAGAAATGATGGAGTGATTTCTGAGTTACCTTATTACATCTCTCATCTCTGCATCACCTCTCTCTACAACTCCCTGACAGGAGGGTGGAGCTAGGTGGGGGTTGGTCTCTCCTCCCAGGTATCAAGAGATAGACAAGAGCAAATGGCTTTAAGTTGTGCCAGGGGAGGTTTAGGTTGGATATTGTGAAAATTTCTTCACTGAAAAGGTTGCCAGGCACTGGCACAGGCTGCCCAGGAAAGGGGTGGTGTCACCATCCCTGGAGGGATTTAAAAGCTGTGTGGATGTGGCACTTGAGGACGTGGCTTAGTGATGAACGTGGTGCTGGTGCTGGATTGACAACCAGAATTGATGACCTTTAAGGTCTTTTCTAACGATTCTATGATCTTTTAAGAAAATATTCCATGCAAGGGAAGAAACTTAAGCGGAAGGGAAGTAAGAGTTACACAAGTACAGTGGTTCTGTCTTTCTACTGGGCAGGAACAATAAAATTGTACTCACCCTGAACACAAAGCACTCTCCAGTCCCAAAGAAGCTCAGCTTGTTCCCTCCTCGCCGGCGCTCGCTCCAGTCCGTGGACAGGTAGGCCCCACAGACCTGGCACAGACAGCACAGTCAGGCTTCCCATCAAAGGAGGAAGTGTGTTAAACCCACTGATACCGACATTTCAGAGACCAAAACTGCAGGTTTTAGTTGGAGTTTCAGAATCTCTGTACCAGTGGATTAAAGCAGCACCAGTATTTATATCTAAAGATAGATTTAAATTGCTTTAATCCACCTGTGGTTTCCCTTAAATCCAAAGAGTTTCATAAATTACTTCACATCTCTGAGGCCTTAAGGGAGAAATGTTCCAACAGAACCCCGGTACCAAAGCACGAATCACTCCAAACCTGTACAGTCTGACTCCCACTTCCTCACTTTGGCATCCAAAGCAACAGTGTTGTCCCAAATTACAGTATGAGCAGCTCTGCCTGAACATGTTCTGGTCATAAACAGTGGCCTTGGTGGCTTTCTTACATTTCCAAGTGTAGGCCAAAGCCAGTTTAGCTAAGCCAATGGTGAACTAGCTCAGATATTTAGCAGGAAACCACAGGGGGGTCACTAATCTCCAACAAAGAGAAGCACCCTCAGAAAGCTGAGGTGATTTCTGGAGCCTTTTGTTTGCAGGAGAAGAATTTTTTGCTACTGGCAATACACGTCCCTGCCAAATGCACACACAGTGAAGCTCCAAGAGTGGGGTGAAAGCATCCCTGCTTTTTTTCCCAGAAACTGGAAAACCAGTTATGGTTATACAGACTTGTTCTAAAGAACACTTGCTGTTTAGCCTCCACCAGCATTACAAACAGAGTTCCTAGGACAAGATCCTTGAAGAACAAGTTTTTTATACAGATAAATCTGTATTTGGAGTTAAATTTCAATTTAGAACTAAATCTAAAATGACCCAGCAGTCCATTTGATGTGATATGCCTGACGGATATGAGAGACAGAAAATCAGAAGGCAAATTTTCTTCATTCTAAAAAGTAACTAGAGACGTATGAATAGAGGATGAACAACCCTTTGCATTAAACCTCGAACCCACAATCACCAAACGAAATCCTCCTTATTTTTCTCCTACTTTTTTTTTTTTGCTGTATATATTTTTTTGAGAGGTAAGAAGCAAACCACACTAGAAAAACCAGCAAAGACTTTTGACATAATCCAGGACAAGAAGCAAAATAATAAACAAATATTCCCCCCTTTCTCCTTTAGACACCAGGGGTATTCCATGAGCCATTGGCATATCAGTGCAGGCCTGGATGTCCAGAAACCATCAGAAATACGAAATGACCCAGAGTCTGAGCATTAGGTAGCTGCAAATAAGAGTAGAAATGGGCTTGTTCATGGACAGTCATCCTGCAGGGACATAGGCAGAAATATAAGCCCACAGGCTGCAAACAGCTTAATGTTATATACAGGATATTTAAAAGTCATGCCCAGTGGCACAGACAACCAGCACCATTACAGGAAGCTCCTGTGTGCCCTCCTGAGAAGGTTCTGGGAAGACTTCTTGTTTTATGTATTAAAGCTGCTGCTTTCACATTATGCTGCCTGATACTGCCACACACAGCAAAGCAGAAACAAGGCACCTGTGTGCACTCCTCCTCAACTTCTCACAGCTGCCTTGGTTTATTTTTGTCCCAGTCAAGAAGGAGATGAAGCTAAGGCTTTTGCTTTCACATTATGTAGTGTAGCATTATTCATACCATTCAAATTCTGTTACTTTCTCTCCTCATATCCTGGAGAAAAGAAAATATCTTCTATGCATCATGAGTTTAACACAATTCCCACCCTGTCCCTTTGATTCTGCAATTCAGAGTCTGTCCAAGAGCAAAATGAGTTACTTTAGTCCAACATTAGTTACTGGAGAAAAAGCAGCTGACCAAGACTTGGTTTACAAGATCTACTCAAGAATGCATAGTCCTATAACCAACAAATGGAATCATTTAAAGCATGGATTGTTAAAAAACCAAAACCAACCCTTGCTTATTCATTTTATTATACACAGTTGTGTGTTGCAATACAGCATTGCACACTGCCCAAAACCCAGTTTAATCACTTCTCTTTCACTTCACTCACCTCTTTTGCTGTTGTCTTGATGAGGAGAAGAGTTGGTTCGTGTCCCTCGCTGTGGGAATAGAACCTGAAGTGCAGAGCACACAAAAATGAGCACTCAACTACCACCAACTGCAGCTCCTTCCCTCCTCAACGTCACACACCACCTCCTCCTCCAGCTGATGCCATAGCAAAAAACATCTAAAGACTAAGAACATTCCTGCAAATGCTTTCTACAGTCCATGTAAATCATACAGCTGAGTGTAAATGAATATTATCAAGCAGTTGTTCTCTACTCAGTTCTCTGCAGTTGCTTATATCTCTGCAGAATAACTGGAAACCTGACCATCCCAACAGCAGCATTTTACAGCATTTTGAATTAAAACAACCCAGAGGGCTGACAGCTGTGTCTGAAGGGCTTTGGGTCTTCATAGAAACTAATTGTGATGCATTCTCTTTGCTTGCTTTTGCTCTTCCTCAGGCACATGGGGCTGGGAGAGCAGGTCACTCCCCACCTCAGTACCTCACCTGCCAAGGACAGTCATTTTTAGGAGCTATAGGGTTATAGTCTTCTGTGCCAAGTGGAAGGAGAACTCATATCTAGTTTATCCCACTTAAAAAATAATGACAATCAGATTCATATAGAGGAATCTCCTTTATTCCCTGACTGTGCTGGTCTGAGACTGGTTCATTCCTCACTGGGTCGAATGGTTCAACTCAGTGGCAGATCTTCAGGTTTTCTGTCAAAAGAGCCTGAAGATCTGCCACTGAGTTGAACCATTCGACCCAGTGAGGAATGAACCAGTCTCAGACCAGCACAGTCAGGGAACTGATGGAAGTTTGACAGCTTTGAAGGTTGTCCTTACCTGCTCAGGCTACAGCCATGTTCCAAGGTGGTGAAAAGCAGGAGGGGCTGGCACAGAGCAAATCGCTCTGGGATCCATGACCAGATGTCTCTCATCTCCTTCACACTGACAATTTCTGACTTGAAGTTCTCAGCATGAACTGCCAAGTGCACATTCTGCCTGAGAAATACAACACAAAACATTGAGAAACAAGTTTTGTTTAACAAGTTTTGGATTACAGGACAGTAACATGCAAAGATAGCTGAGCACTAACAGACCCTAGTAGATAAGTTACTGTTCAAAGCTCCACCTCACGAGGTTAGAAGGCCATGGCCTAGTGAAGGTAATAAATTACTGCAATTTAAGATAATCCTGAGAGGCAGAGATCTAGCCTGACTGAAATACCTGGAGCTATTCCTCTGTATGGCAGCTGTTGCCTGCACCTTTATACACAGAGGACACAACGCTGAGCCAGTGAGGATGACCATGACCTTAAATAGTTCAAATTGTATTTGCTATTTGAGGTGGTCTCTCTCTCAAATTGCACTTGTATTTAAGCACAGAGAACAGAATGCCAAAACAAACAGCCAGGATCTGAAAGGAAGGGGTAGTACTTCCCCCCACCCCCAGGTCCTGCCTGTATCAGGGGTTAGAGAATCCCTAAAGCCCTCAGAAAACTTTGAGGAATTAGCATTACCAGGTTGGGCAACTTTAATCCAAGGAAAATGTTTGAAGCTTTCCGAAAGTTCCACCTCTTGGAAACATGTCATTAGCAATGACTTCCACTTCATTAAGAACCAAAGAAGTTCCTGGGCTCATGGTTACAGATGGAGCCTGAGAACATGAAGGAATGGTGGACATGGACAATGGAGAGGAAACCCCCACGCCCCCCAGAGGGGTCTGATACAGTTATAAAGATTGATTCATGGCTTTTAAACACTTGAGGGTAACAACCATCATCAGCTTAAACAGCCTTCATTTCTCAGATTAAACAGGCACACAAACCCAGAGCCTGGGGATTAAACAAGTGTTATTGCCATGTTAAACACTCAAAATGCAAAGGTGACAGCCAAGGACGTGGTGCAATGACACAGGAGCTCGCACAAGACCCTGAGTTACTGGGCAGCCAGCAGTCAAGTGAAGCTTTATCAGTTTGCTCTGCATGCAAGGGTTCAGGTGCAAGTATTTGCCTATTTCTGATGGTTTTTTTCTGATAATTATACATTTCTTTCCTCTCAGTTTCATGGAACATAAAGACACCCTCAGTAGTGTACATCTACATGGATCTGGACAGCTTAGCTCACTCCCTAAAACACACAAACTATAATTGTTTATTACTTTTCGTGCTTGTAGTACCAAAAAATCAGCAGCATTTGTACTATACTTCAGAGTGGTGCTTGCTTGGAGACACTGGGACCTGCTTTCTGAAACTCACTGTAGCTGCCTTAGTGCCAGCATTTCTAATGAAGTGACTCCTTAAGTCACTATAAAAAAAATACTAAAATTACTGCTTCCTCCAGCCAAATGAACCAAATCACTCCCTGCATTGCTACCCTGAGTTATTTAATGAGCAAGGAACTTTTATGGGCACCTATTGAAGGAACTTGCAACTCTTAATGGCTTTTAAAACTTACAGTATCATTGACTAGGGAAATTATTTGTGTTTTTAAACAGCAAGCTGAGCCACAGGAGAGATCCACTGAAGCAAAGTATGAGCCAAGCTTTGAACCCACATCTCCAGAATCTTACTTTAGGTCTCATTCTCCGGATCCTGTCTGGTCTGCAGCTAAAACTGGTGGCACTATGGAACAGAGCTGAGAAACAAAGCCTTGGTTTCAGTTCAGCAGAAATTAGATTTTTTTTTCCACATTTAAGTAATTAAAAAGTATTCAGGGCAATCAACTAGTTTGTTAGAGTGAATTTCTGGAGGAAAAGTAACGATGATAAACAGGCTAAGAGTTAGTAGCAAATATCAAAAGTTTTAAAGTTACACCTCAGGCAAACCTCAGAATTATTTGTATTTCTGGTCTGTATATTTTTCACACTTCTGTGAGCTGTTTGGGCAACTAAACTTCAGCTCTTGTTCCTAAAAGGCTCTCACATTCAGAGTGCCTTTGCTTTTGCCTTTGTTCCTTCTGGTTGATCTGAACTGCTGGTTTAAGGACTTTCCTCCCCAAGCCCCACTCAAAGCCTGAGCTCAGCAGTTTTCCAGGAACACATCCCTTTCAGAACCCTGTGTCTTCCCACAACTCTTCCATGGGGGTGGAATATCACCTTTTCAAACAGATCTTTCTGATTTACTCAAAAGCTTTTGCCACTATATTGACCATTTAAAACTATCTCAGGAATACAGTTCCTTCCCTTTGAATATCATGGCAAATCATTCCGCATTTAATCTCATCATCTAGTTCAACCTAGACCATAACTTGGCCAAAGGATGTGAAATCAAATGACTTGCTATTTCCCAGTCACAAATCTCAGCTGCAGGTGCCTGAGACTGAAACCTGACCCTGTATTGATACCAGTGTCCACACACAGCCTGTGCCTACATCAAACCATCTGTGCTGCTGAGCAAAAATATAAGGGGCTTTTCTAGGGGAGAGAGGGCCCAGAAAATTGCAGCTAGTTACAAGTATCTAACCTGTATTAGTTCTCTTATTTTTGACAGTATTTATCTAATGACACTGAAAATCATCTCCTTCAGTTTGGCAGTTGCTTTTCAAAGTAGTAAATGAATGAAAATGAACAGAACACAAGTTGACTAGGAAAAAAACCAAATGTTTTGGTTTATATTCACTGAGGAAAAATAAGTTTAGCCTTCACCATACTACAGGTCTTTCAGGGTTATCTAGTAAAAAAACAAGCAGTTTGAGAAATCAGTAAATTTGGATAGCATTACAGTCTATCACTAGAACTGAACAAATTCAGTAAGATTTTACCCTGCATTACTGTTTCATCAGTTACTGGGATGAGAATGACAACTTTCTATTGATTGCTGATGTTGGAAAGACTTTTTCAACTGCTAATATACCAAAGGAAATTAGATTTAGAAACCCAGCACAACGAATTTTTAATAAAGCATCTTATTTGCTGCTTTCATTAGGAATGCTGTTTTTTCCAGCTGTATCATTAATACAATGTGCTTCAGACACCTCAAAGGTCCCAGTGATATGTCCATGACAACAAATACCCCACTCCAAGGTATGACTCACTGAGTTACATTGTCCTGCTCTACTCTGGTTTGGGTCAAATCTTATAGGGGCTGCATTAGCTTTAAATTCCATTATAATTTCAGCGAGGGCATAATTGTGTGGGAAAAGGGAGATGTTCTTTTTCAGTCATAAATGGCAATATAAGTAATTTGTGGTGCATAAACCTGAAACTAGAGATCAATGTCAACAGACACCCTGCACCTCCCTAGGCCCCCTCCAACCCAATCCATTTCCTAGCAGAAATTAAGGTTTTCTGCTGCTTTCAGAACAATTTAACTGCAGCAAAATAATGCACAGATGCTGAAGGTTTGCTTGGCTGGAATTAACAGCCTGCTGATTTATAAGGGGTAAAATCCTCAACACAGAAGTTATGGTATGAAACATGCTTTGATAAGTCTCTTAAGATGTTATTTCAAACATGAAAACACAAGGAAATTAATTCCAACTTTGATTTTATAAATTAGTATAAATGTTAGTGTCCATCACTCACTAAAGTTAACTCAGGGCACCTGCAGCAAGGCCAGAGGATTCTCAAATGCATCACTTTAAACCCAAACATCTGTGGTATTTAGTACTCACAGGGCAGCTTTTTCCCTTTTCAAGTTCTCCTCTAATCAGATATCACAATCCACTGGGTTTTGTTCTTTAAGATTTACTTTCCAGGTCAAGACTTGATGAATGACTTCATTGACCATTAATGCTCTATGGCTGAGTAATTCTGGCCTCCTTGACACAGGAAAAGAGTCTTGTCTTCTCACCTCTAAAAAACCTCTGCCTACTTAAAAATAAATATAATCTAGTATTAGTAGAGACAGGTCACTTTTAGGAGTGTGCCAAGTTGGGGTCAGTCCAAAATCTTTCCAAATAACTGCAGAAAGCTTGCAAAGAAGAAAAAAAGTTGAGTGTGTCTCACATCTAATGCAAGAGCATATACCAGGTTTGGATGTGGGATTATACCCAGCAGCTCTGAAAACATGTTATTTGAGATGTTCAAAAAAAAACCCCACCACCTTTTCTCCTCGTGTAGAAAGGACCATTATTATATTGGCCCTTTATAGCCATTACCATGATCCCACCACGTCCATTACTCTTTCCCACTCTGCAAGGCACAGCTGTGCTGCTGTCTGAAGTGCTCTGCTCACTCCCTGGGCCACGATCCCTTCCCTTACAGCTCTGCAGGTGCTTTGAACTAACTTTGCAGGAGCGTGTTCAGGAGCTGTGGCACAGCAATGGGATGCTCCAGTTCCTGCCCTGCTTCTCCTGCCCCAACCTCAGTGATGACAACAGCCTTGGAACAAATAACCAGCCAAGGACAGGGGAAACCAGCAAAGTACAAAGGGTTCAAGTGTTTTAACCTACCTTTTGGGAGGTGCAAGGCTGCAAACAGGAGGGGTGCAGTGGGGATGGAATGGACAGAGGAGAACGTACAAGGAGAAAGACAAAAAAAGATAGAAAAGATCAGTGACTTCCTACATCCGTGACAAAGTGAGTGAAAGGAGCCTGGAGAGAAACAAAGCAAGGTTTGATTTGAGTCACCAAGCATGAGAAAAACAATCAGACAGGTTAAAACATTTATAATTCTATTTCCTCCCCCCCTTTTTTGTTATGTGATTGGAAAATAAATCATCATCTCCTTGCACAGGCCAAACAGACCTGGAGAAGAGAACTCACTGGCATCCTATGGAGCCCTGGAGAATGGCTCACTTCTCCTGCGCCCACATCTGCCCATGCTGGGATCCAAACTGAGCCAAGCTCCCCAGGACACTGAGAAGTTTCAGTGGGTTCACAGAAGTAGCCAAGAGAGGATACAAACCTTTCAGTAGCAATTCTGCTTGGTGTAGCAGTAGCTACTGGCTTCATTTGGGTATATTACTGTATTTCTCTTTAAAGGCACCACAGTTGTGAGCGAGAATTTCTCTGCGACATGTAACACAGCAGGAGTTTCTGGGGTTTTTGTGGTTAGTTGTGGTGTGGAGTTTTTTTTCTTTTATATTTTTTTTAAAGCTCGTTCTGTTTTAAAGAATATACTCAGAAAGGATATTACAACTCTCCTGAACTTCAGAACAGGAAGAAAAGACACATATTGGAAGAGTTAAAACTCCTGGTTGTGAGTCTCAAACGCAACGGTCTGAACTCTCCCTGATGTGACAATCCACTGGCTAAAGGCCCTGAAATAGTTGAGTCTGACAGAAAAATGAAGCAGCTGATTGTAAACAAGTTGTGAGTCTAAAAATTAACCACTGGAAAAGACTGGAGGGAACTTTACATGTGCTTAGGCACATGAAGGAGGTTCAGCTAAGATTTATGTTATTTTATAGGCTGAAATGCACTCAGTGTGTATTTACATACCATGGAATGATATCTGTTTACAACTAACTCAGCAACAGTTAGCTGGAAGATCCTATTACATCAGGGGCTGGTACCTTTGGATTTTTGAAGATTTAGAGAAAATGAGACTGTGCCTATAGAATACCAAATTCTAGAGAACACACTCACTGACCCAGGGAGTGTAGAAGTCACCCTTCCCTTCAGAGGGCAGGGCAGCTCATAAAACTGTCCAACACTTAAACTTAGATTTCAAAAGTGACTGGGAGAAGTTTGCTGCTGTCAGAGGCCTCCGGAGAAACAGCACATGCACCACCAGCATTTACCTGCACATACATTTGCACTTGGCAGGATGCTAATTTTGATTAGATTAATAAATTGCTACCTTTTCTATATCCACGGAGAGGTCTTTCAGCTAGGCTTTTTATTAGTATGGCTTTTACTACCACAGTGGAGCAGGATTTCATTCCCTAGTTTCACAGTTGTTTTTTCCTCCCCTCATTTCTGAAAAGGAATTGTGATGACACAATCACGTTTTGGACCTGCATACTCACTCTTCTCTTCCACATTTCTTTCAAAATCATTATTTCGAATAGTACACGAACCTGTCACAGAGATGAATTCCTTCCTACCCTTGACTGCTACTCTTGACTTTCAGGAGGCTTGCAGTCAAATTAATTTAAAAAGTAACCTGTAAATAAGACTTTTTTTGTCCTTGCTCTGTTAAAATAACTCCCCAGTTAGGCAAAATGTTCCCAGCTGAGACAGCACCTACTTACATTATAGAAACTGCTGAATTCACAGTACTGGGCAGCATCAATTTGACATTTTATACAGCTAATCTCATATTTAAGAATTAATTTTCACAGTTGTTTGTGTATGTTTCTTCCAAGTAAATTATCAGTGCTTTTTCCAGCTTTGCTAAAATACCCTTTAATTTAAAAAAGAAAGACACTTTTGAGATGCAATACTTGTAATTAATATGTACCTGTATAAATTCATCACTGAGCAAGCTATGAGAAACTGCTCTGTTCTGCCTGTGTCATAACACCTCAGTTACACTTCTCACTACAATGCTTAATTTTGGGGCTGCTGGCTTTTTCTTCAGAGAGAAAACATCAGAGGACACCAGCACACACGAGTGGAGCTGCCCCAGCAGTGCCCCAGGGTTGCCTGACTGGGAAAACTCCAGAGGTGGCTCAGGCTGCCTGTGGTGAGCCCCTACCTTTTCTGTTTGACCGTGATGCCCTTCTGCTGCAAAGCCTTCTCATTGGCCATCTGCAGCAGCTGGATCTCCTTCCGAGAGAAAAGGCGGATAGCAAAGGCTTTTTCCAGGAGCCTCTCCGGAGACACTGACTTGGCGATGTCCCTCACGAAGGCTCGGATGTCCTGCTGGATGCTGTCGGACTCCATGGGCTGCCCAGCTCTGACTTTGTGAAAGAACTTCAGAAGAGCCAGGGCGACACGATAGAGGACCTTGTACCCTTCCACCAGGAACACGTCAAAGACCCGCGCGACGTAGGTCATGGGCAGCTCCCCGAAGAGCCACCGCTGCCAGTCCGAGTACACCTCCAGCACGTCCTCGGACACGGCCACCATCAGCTTGTGGGCCGCCTGGCAGTACTTGTTCACCAGGTCCCCGAAGGTCATGCAGGAGGACTCAAAGGCCAGGAAGGTCTGGTCGATGAGCCGCTTGGAGGGGTCGTTGCAGGCCAGGATGCGACAGACCTGCTCAAAGCACTCGGCCTCGTCCTTGCTGTAGTGCAGCAGCAGCGCGATCACCGCCGGCAGCGCCGGGCAGAACGAGATGTCTGGGAACTGGTTGGCGATGCACAGGATGATCTTCCTGACCGCCCCGATGCCCTCTGCGTTCAGGCAGTACGTGGGGACCAGGCTGTTGTCCACAAACTCCGGCAGGGGCAGGGAGCTGCTGCTGCGCTTTCCCACGATCTTCACGACGATGTCCCGGTACACATTGGCATCTGGGGTCACCGTGCGGCATGGGATGCTGCTGATGAGTTTGTGGTACACTTTGGCTCTCAGACAGTGGTTCTTGGCCCAGTAGCCCTGCCGGGCCAGGTGCTTGAGCTCCTGGAACTCGGTGCAGCTGAGCTCCTTCGTGTCCTGGCTCTGGGCACTCACATCCATTTTGTCCCAGTCCACAAAGCGACTGTACTCATCCATGGCTCCAGGAGAAGTAAATCAGATAAACCATGAGAATTTTACATAGTCATTGAAGGACTCGCAGATTTTTCTGCAAAAGAAACAGCAAAAACAACAGAAGTTTGAGTAACAAGTAATCTCCAGTTTTCTTTAGGAACAGAGACATATACATTCAACTTGTTCCTGCAACAGCACCACTGTTTTCTACAGCAAAGAAAGTTAAAGATGCCTCTTTATTTTTAAGCCCAACTTTCCTTGCATTGTCAGTAACTACTACTGCAGTAATTGGTCAACGTCCAGCCAAGACACTGATCCTGAGGACATCTTCCCAGGAAATAAATTTCCCTAACTGAAGGTCTAAGCTGAGGCATAGATCTTTATATTCACATCTCACTTAAGAAAACAGAAGACTCTCACTTCAAAAATATCCATTGTAAGGTCTGTTCAATTTGCAATCTCTCTTTCCAATCTCTGGGGAAGTTAAGCACTACTCATACTAGAAGGATGCACTCTCAGAAGTAGTTTACACTGTTTTGAGACTGTGTGGCCAGTGAGATCTGATCTCCTACTAGTCACAGCCATGTGCTCTTAGTCATTTCTTGGTGCTCGTACAGGCACTTGTGTGACCACACAGTCACTGAGATCAGATTGTTAATCTGGTACGATTTTTGTTTTTCATTGGATAAGCAATATTTCTTCATGGAAAAGGTGGTCAGGCAGTGGAACAGGCTGCCCAGGGAGGTGGTGGAGTCCTTGTCCCTGGATGGTGTTCAAGAAACGACTGTATGTAGCACTCAGTGTTCTGGTCCAGCTGACAATGTGGGGATTGGTCACAGGGTAGGCTCCATCTTGGAGGTCTTTTCCAGCCTCAGCGATCCTGTGGTTCTGTGTCAGTCAGATCATCACTAGAGCCACCACAAAGATTAGTGCAGGACAGACCCACCCTTCCTGACTGCAGTACATGCTTGGGTCAGCTTCAAACAGCTTCATTACTGCACTTCCATGTTCCCAGTGGTGCTCTGGACACCGGCCATGCCCTGTCACACAGGCACACAGCAGCTCTCCCACTAGAGGGCCTGCTGTCCCCTGCACTGGAGATGTCACAGACACCTTGGCAAACATCAGGTTGTGGCCTTGCTGCCTCACACCACGTGTTTACCTCATCTCCCAGCTGACTGCAGGCTTAGGGCACAGCTGTGTCCCAGCAGACAGTGTGGCTGTGACCACTAATGGCCACACCCGAACCAGCTTTAATCAGTCAGTGCAAAACCAGATGGGGAGATACAATAACCTCCACTATCACAGCAGGTCTGCCCTGCTGGACCCTCTCTGCCAACGTGCCCTCAGTGCTAGACTGAAGTTGGGAACATGGCTGTGGATGCTGCACACTCTGCAAAGGCAGACAATCCCCATAAAATGCAACAGGCCTGTGAAACTGTTTTGTATAATTAAGACATTATATAGCAAGGTTGAATCAACAAAAGCTGTTACTGAAAGACTTCCAAAGAACCCTTAGTCATTCCTGTGTTGACAGACTGGAAAATGCATGGAATTTGACATTTATCACATGGTCTTCCATAAATCAGGTGCTTTAAAATGATTTGAAACTCATAAGGTAGATACATTATCAAGGCAGGGAGCTCGCCCTCCTGGCTTCCACACAGGAAAGTAAACCAAACATTTTGTCTAAAGCTGCCATATATTTAATCCAGACAGTTTTAGATTCTGACTAAATACTAATCTGTGTATTTTGGAATCACATGCTGAAACTCCAGAATTTATCTCCTCTTTTAAAAGTTGGCAGCAACACACAGGAGCCTTTCAGAGAAGGCTTCTGGATGGCTCTTCTCTACCCTATTTCAGGGGTTTTTTGAGTTGTCTTTGTACAGTGTAAGAGCAATACAGAAATGCTCACCATTTTGTTGCATTCTTCCACATCTGAAGCTAATTCTCAGACTGTAATTACAGGAGGCAACCCATTGTCCTGACAGTGAGAGATCTCCCGGGGTTCAGCAACATGCCCTGGTGTGATGAGTGTGTGTCTCCAGGAGGTGCAGTAGGACACCAGTCCATCGCAGAGCCAACGCAGCTCCAGGGAAGTTAACATTTCTCTGTCATTCTCCACCTGGGAATCATAGAAACACTCAGTATTTTTAATTCAAATCCTAGAATAAGGTCCTTGTGTAGGAGAGAAATTCAATCTATTTTTGCAGTGGCCAAAGGACACAGAGATGAGCCACTCTGCTCATGGACACTTCAGCATAGAAACTATCACTGCCCTGTTCTTGCTGGATTCTCCAACATGCTCCCACCTTGTGCCACCATCCCTTGGGAGCTGCTTGATTTATATTAGGGAGTGTTAAGTAAATTGTCCATCATATAAGACAACTTCTAAGATACCCAGAGATACATCTTGGCTGTCTTTTTCCTGTAAACTTTCTTCTCCTGTCTTATTTTCCATCATCCAGAGATGCAGGCATACTTAGAGGCTGCATCAGTCATTTTTCCCTCTAGCAGTTACTGCCCATTCCAGGAATTTACCAATTTGATGAATATGTGCTCCTGAAGCTCACTGAAATCCATGGCTAGAGGATGGCAGTCAGACTGCCAGAGGTTTTGATTTGAGCTCATGGTTTTATACATTCTTTGGCTGGGATAACTCTGCTGGGTCTGCAAGTATGTCTGGCTGCATATGCTTTTCACAGCTCGAGATGCTGTGAGAAAAAGTGACAGCAAAGCAAACGGGCATTGTCAAGGCTGCCAGAGCATGACCAGCTCTTAACTCTACTTGCAAAACCAACAGAAGTCGTGTGCTCCAGTGTAATGGTGCATAGCTCCTGACACTGTGCCAGTAGCTACTGTAAGCCAGCAGTCCTCAAATGGGGAGGATTTACTTGCCAAAGGAGAAGAGCCCAAGAAATCTCAGGAAAATTCCAGACAGCCTTCTTCTCCTCCTCCCACTCTTTCTGAGTCTTCCTCCATCCCTCCCTCCTGCAGGACAAGTTCTCTCTCTTCTGGCAATCATGTAAAGAGCAATGCTTAACTTTGGGCTGGTGGGAAGAGGAAACAGAAGACGTCTCACCCTCAGCAGCCAAGGGCCAATGAGTCAGGGCTGTCTCCTGCCCATCCCTCCCACTACAAGGCAGCAACCAGGCAGTGCAGATTCGTATTTGGAGGGACAGAAGGCTGGAGTTTCAGTTAAAGAGCAAAACTAGAGGAGGATGGCTGTGTAAGAGTGCAGCTGTGTCACAAAGTCCCATCTTCACCTAAACTACCTTGCTTACACATATAAAGGGGTAAAACACAGGCAGAAGGGAAAAAACCATTTCAGAATGAAATGTTTGTCTGAAGATGTGGTTAAAGGCAGGCAGAGACTCACAGCCCCTATTGCAGCAAAACTCTTTCCTTCCTGCTGAAATAGCTGTAGAGAAGCCAGCATCACATTATGGTAAATATCTTCTAACTGGACATGGGGCCAACAGGAGAGATCAGCACCTGAACTGCACAGAACTGAACTGCTGTCAAGTACGTGTCAGAACAGAACTACAAGTAAAAACTCAACAGAAAAAAAATTACATTACTTATAATAACCATAGAACCACAGAATGGTTTGGGTTGGAAGGACCTTAAAGCTCATTTCCTTCCACCCATGGGCAGGGACACCTTCCACTAGCCCAGGTTGCTCCAAGCCCACCCAATCTGGCCTTGAACACTTGCAGGGATGGGGCAGCCACAGCTTCTCTGGGCAACCACAAAGCTCCAAAGTTCTGTATTCCTTATTTAGGGGAAGAAGTCATTCTCCTTTCTCATCAGACTGACTTTCACAAAACAGAGGAATTAACAGAGAACAGAAACAGGAGAAAAGGCTTTTTTCTTAGTACCTGTCCCACAATTTGGAGATTGTTAGATCTATTAGTTTATAATGGAGCTCTTCAGGTAAGTGCAATATAAAAAAAAAAAGCAAGCACATAAGTGAGAATTACAACTAGAAAAATGCATATTGAAGATTTGCCAACAATGGCTGCAGCAGAGGCAAAAATTTTCAAGGTTAAGTTTAAACTACGAAGCAGGCAAACAATCATTACAATTCAAACCCAAGCAAGGACCATGGTAACTGGCATGAGTTCAAGTCAGTGACTGAATTCTCAGGAAATATTTAGCTTGCTAGTCTAGCCACATTTTCCATTTCATTCCCTTAGCTCTTCCCATTGTCTTTTGGGCTGCTTTCAGAAGACTGCCTAAAACTGCCTGAATCTGCATAAAATACCCAGCAGTGAAGCCAAGCGTGACAGGCAAATTCCCATACTGCCTGTGAAGAAAAAATCTCTGGAAGTGTCTAAAAACACATCAGCAGGAAAAGAAGATTTGAATTACGACTTACTTTCATTATGGGGAATATAATGCTTTCACTAAAGATAACATGTCTGGGGACTTCAATAATTTTATTATTGAAAAGAATTATTTTATTACTAAAAGAGGTTTTTTTGTTGTTTGTTTGCTTTGTTTTTTCTTTCCAAAATGTGAGAAATAGCAAACTGAAATATCTGAAGTACAACTAACCCAGTGGATAATTATTGTAGTCAAATCCAGAGTACACCCAGTATTCTGCAGTAGTGAAATATTTACAATCTAAACTTCTTAAAAATAAATTCCAACTTTAGTTAAAGCCTGAGATTACATGATTTGATATGGCTTTTAATAAACACAAAAGAGTGTCCTAAAAAACCCCAAGCTATGATTAATCAGGAAAACCTTGCCCCCTATTCCATTTAGGTACTCTTGCAACTTCGTGTTCTGAAAGTCTGACTACAGTTTAAAAGCTTATTAAGGCACTTAATTTAAATCTAATGTAGCTGCTCTATAACAGGAACCCCCAAACTTTGAAAATAACATTTTTCTTCTTTTCTGTGGGCAGTTACACCACCTTGGATTCAGCCCTTTGCTATGTACAGATACAGCCAGATACGAACAACCACATACTGGTATGTATTTTTATAAGTTGCTAACAGAAAGCAAATATTCCTTTTTGCTGCCCTGCAAATCAAGACTAATGTAAACCTCCAGACCTGCAGAGTATCATTTGCTGTTTATACTGCTGATAGGCAGGGAAAAGACTCAAATTTACTCTTTTTCATAACCTTGTTAGACTAATCCATGCAGAAGGCACACAAAGAGAGAATGAGAACTGCTTTCTCTAGACAGCTTGCAAGTAGTCCTTATCCCAGTATGAGAAAATTAACCCCAAAAGTCTGAGTAGATGATTTCCATCTGTGAGGAATACTCAGATCACCTCTGAGATGTTTCCTTCATGCATGGAAGAGTCTGACAGAAGCACAAAGCAACACAGCCAGACAGCAGTAATTGCAGAACAAAAGGCACAGGGCAGGCAGCTTCCCTCTCGTTTACCAGTATTCCAGTGCATCCCGCAGCTTTCCCAAGCCTGGACTTAGAGCAGCACACCTTGACATCTCTGCTCCATCGATCTGGAAACAAGATTGGACACCACAGTTCCCCTCTGCCCAAACAACCCTGACCACAAGCACTTCTACAGGTTTGTCACTTTTACAGCCTCAGTGAGGTCCTCTGCCACCTCTCCCCCGGGCAGCTGTGTGCTCCAGAGCTGGGATTAAACACTCCATTTAGCATGAGAACAGCATGGAGAGACTGGGAACACACGATCCCTTCTGGCAGAGCACACAGAGATCCATGGATTGCTTTAACTGCTTTAAATGCAGTTCGATCTCTGTGTGGTGCCCTGGGCACTGTGCACAGCACATGCTGAGTACCAGGGAGAAAGTCCCTGATAATGTCCTAATACGAGTTTACCAACTATGTGATAGGGGATTAGGAGCTGCTTCCTGCTGGGGTTTTTTTGTATTCTTTTAGGACAAAGTCTAGAAACTTCTCGGTCTCCCAAATAACTGATAAAGACCTGATATCAGAGTACTCTACAGGCAAATCATTCTAGCCATCTACATGATTTCTCTCAGGATATCAGTGCTGCATATGAAGCACAGTCACAGAGGTCTGTCCTAGAATCCCATGTGTTCATTCTTAGGAACTTATTACCACCTCCTTAAACAGTCTTTAACTTATCTGTAATTAATTTGTTGTGCACTTCATTACAGTCTAAAGTTCAGACACACATTGGGCTCTTCACTGCTGGGCAGGTAAGTGACAGTAGCTTATATTTAGGAGAATGTGTATGCCATAGAATCATGGCATGATTTTATGGGTTGGAAGGGACCTGAAAGCTCATCCAGTCCCACCCCCTGCCATGGGCAGGGACACCTTCCACTAGCCCAGGTTGCTCCAAGCCCCGTCCAACCTGGCCTTGGACACTTCCAGGGACGGGGCAGCCACAACCTCTCTGGCCAAGCTGTGCCAGGGCCTCACCACCCTCTGAGCAGAGAATTTCTTCCCAACATCCAATCTAAATACACCTCACAGCTGCAAGCACTTCAGTAGAAAGCAGCCCCTCATTCCCACCCAGGCTGGGATGACACAGTGATGCTCAATCCCTGTGAGTTGCACTGATCAGTAAGATGCCATAAAGGCACAAAATAAACACACAAAACCAAGCAAGAGAAAAGTCTGTTGAAAACCACAACACATTCTTGTTGAAAAACTGGAAGAGAAAAAAATGGTTAATGGTTCCACAAAAGGTCAAAAAAGCTAAAGAGCAGAGCTCTGTAAGAGGATACTGGAGGTAAATGTTATCAAAGCCACAGATTAGCAGCTTTCTCTCCTGCCTACATCATAAAAACACACAAGAAACAATTAATGAAATTAAAGAGGATAATTCCTATCTTATTTCCCTTCAAACCAAAAGAAAACTGCACTTTGCCAGCAAAACTATTTCACATGATGTATTAAAAATTATCCATTAAAAAAAGATATCTGTCAAAGTAGTGCAAAAAAAAAAATCAATATAATTTTTCTACTACATTGTCTGTATTTTCCTTCTTGTTCTTCCTAACTGTAGGACTGAAAAAATTCCTCATGTTGTGCTAATTATTCTTCTTCCCTTTGTTTCAGGAATAGGAGTAACTAAAAACATGTCTCCCTTCAACAGCAAACTCTGATTCACAGGCAGTCTTCAGTCTTCTTATTTTTTTCCTTCCTCTAAAACCTTCAGTTTATATCTTTCTCCATTTGGAAGTACAGTCAGCTACACAGAACCAAAGACACAGTGCAACTGTCAGTGAAACACCTGACATGGTATCAAACCCATATGCAATAAACCAAGCCCTTTTCCTGCTCTGTTGCACTGAGTTGCTCTGTCAGTTCGACATCTATCACCTCTAGATCTTTCTCCACTACAAACATTTACTGGCAGAAAAACATATTTAAATATTTGTGATTTGAAATGTTCTCCTCTTAGACATAGTGTCTGCACTGGTTTATGTCGAAAACTGATTTATTTTTTTCTTACCTAAACCAGAAGGTACAGGTACATGTACTCCACAGGTACATGTAATCAGGTTTGATTTCCTACACATTTAGTGCTTCTTCAGGTCCAGAACAAGCAGCTGACAGCATGAATGGAAACACAGGGAGATTTTTACATGCAGAAGGCACAATCTGAGCTACCAGGAAAGGGTACTCCTAGGAGAGAGGTTTGCCAAGAAGCGATTCCCAGTCCTTGGCAATGTTCCATGGCTTCATTACCAGGACAAAGCCATTCAGGGCTGAAGAGCTCACACCTCCTACACCTACTCCTCCCACTGCCTGAGCAGTCTCCACAGCATGTGATTATTCCTTTTCAACAGGTTTTTGTGACCAGGGGTTTTCTCTATGGATCACTGGGTTTCTACCCTGGGCCAGTCTTTCCCTGTGCAACCACCAAGCTGCTGGGATGCTTTGCACCCCAAACTGCAGCAAGTGCAGGTCCCAGAGCTAACACAGCCCAGCTAGAATACAACAAACCCCTCAGCTTCCCAGGGCTTAGACTGCTAGCTTATCCCTGGCCTCAGACTGCCATGGTCATCCTCACACTGAGGGAGGGGATGGGAGCTGCTCCGTGGGGAGGAACACATCTCGTGACAAAGCCTCTCCTACCAACAACCTCTCCAAGTCATGATCTGGACCATACTGTAACTGTGGGGTTTTTGTTTTTTATCCTTCTGTTCCATACAATAGCAGCCTTTTTCCATGTACGATTTAACAATAGGTCTGCTGTGCTGGGCCAGGTAGCACCAGGAGCCTTGTCTGCAGGCTCCAGGGAAGCCTTTGCTGCTCAAGCGATGTGCAAGCAGAACTAGCTCCTCATAGTCTCAGCAGTAACTTGCTAATACAAATATATTTTCCATTCAAATATATATATACCCAGAAAACATACATTGCACTGTACATATTGTATATATACAATATATAGACATATACATCCTATTTTTAAAAAGTAATGCTCAATTTCTTCACAATATTCATATTTATCAAAAATACATCCACACAGATGAATGTTGCACATTGTCTCTTGCAAAAGGTTCAAAATATGAATGGTATCATCTAAAGTCTATTAAGGAAACAGGCCAATGTCCCAATTCCCCACATGTTCTTTAAAACAAAACAAAAAGACAAATTAATCAAAGCAATTCAAGTGTCAGTGCGGAAGCTTATGCCAATTTAATTTTTCTGTTAAATCAACTGATAAGACATGTTTATAGTGATTTAAGACCCCTCACTGCAATACTTGAATATACAAAGCCTTAAGTGGCAGTGCTGGAGAGCTTAAGAGATACCTAAATTAGGGAATGGGTGAATGAAGCAGTAACCCTGGTGCAGTGGAACACACAAGTTCTTAATCTCTGCTGAGCCTATGGAAATCACTGCACACACTCCTTAACTCTGTAGTAAGCCAGTGGGACATATACTCTATTAATGCCAGCAGTTATCCTTAGAACTTGTTTATTCCAGGGTAGACTTGTGCTTCCATAATTTCAGCCAGCAGCTAAAATCAGGGTAGGAAAATCTTACAATCTCAGACTATTTCATTGTTCTCTACACTAAGTGTAAGGGTGGAGCAGTTTTCTTTCAGAAAACTAAAGTCGATTTACAGTAAGATGAGCATATAAAAATTAAAGCTGTCATTTTACTCAGGATTTATTTTCTTCTATCTCTGCAAAACCCTATAGATTTTGTTCCTTTCTTCTGAGATTGCTCAGGAGAAAAGCTTCAGTAATCCTGTATGCCAAATAATGGATTACCCTTCCCTGAAAAAAAGTGTAGGTTATCCTACACTTAGAAAATATTCAGACACCAACCAGTTCCAACTATACTTTACAGCTAAAGGAGGACATAAGTTCAGCCAACAGCTGCATTTCAGGGAATTGGAACAACACTTTTTCATTTGGGTACTGATTTCTGTTGTCTTTCTAAACTCAGGCACTATTAAAAGTAAAAGATTAGCAACAAACACTCCTGTGCGGCAGCAAAGCTACAGAAACAGCATCTCATAAAGAAAAACTGATCAGTGTAGAATCCCAAACTAGTCCTGCATTACTTTGATTATGATTTTAAAATCAAAGGGCATTAAAAAAAACCAGAGTGGCTGCCAAGTTTATAATCTTACTATTAGTGTACATTGCTAATCTTCCAGTCTTAGCTTTGAATTTTTCTTTGTATAGATCTTCTTATAACTTACTCCATTCTCCTGGGCCTGTTTGTGAGGGGAAAAAATATTTGTAAAAATTAGACTGTTTTTTAAGCAATGCACTGGGCAACACTGACGTGCATCAGGTCCACCAGTGACCTCCAAACCTTTAAAAAACAAAAACTGGTATCTGCCTGCATGGCTCTCAACCTTCATACTTGGAATTGTGGTACAGAAAACAAGGTGACAAATATCCTCACAGTGGAGAAGAACAGCTAATTAAAGTGCTTGCAGCATAAACAACTCATTTCAGTCTCTAAAATAACAAGCAGGATTACTACTTGTGGCATGAATTCCCCCCCTCTATACAGGATGTACAAAAGTCTGCATTAAATGGGCAATCTCCGTAAAATGTCTCTCCTCCTGGGAATAAGAGGTGTTTGCTGCACAGGTAGGGAGTTTTAGAATTCAGTTTACAGTGTTTAGAAGACCAGTTCTGAAACAAACCCAACTGAAGATACGCAATGGACTATGGGGTTAGACCATCCGACTTGCTGAGGATTGATATCTGTCCTCTTAGGTAGAAAAATTTGTCCTAATCTGAACATTATTTTTCTTCTCAAATGACTGATACTCAGCCCAACAGATTTGGAAATAGCCCAGTACTAGTTTCCTGAAAAACAGTCACTACAACAAATTTGTGCACAAGTTATTTCTCCCTCAAATAGTTTTCCCCATAAAAACATAACAAAACAATCCAGTGTTGGTGCATAATCAGGAGAAGGGAAAGGGTTTTAAACTGAAAGAAAGTTTAGATTAGATATTGGGAAGGAATTCTTTCCTGTGAGGGTGGTGAGGCCCTAGCACAGGCTGCCCAGAGAAGCTGTGGCTGCCCCATCCCTGGAAGCATCTAAGGTCAGGCTGGACGGGGCTTGGAGCAACCTGGGCTGGTGGAAGGTGTCCCTGCCCTTGGCAGGGGATGGGACTGGATGAGCTTTGAGGTCCCTTCCAACCCAAATCATTCTGTGTTTCTGTGATAATGTATTTGCCTACACTCCCAGCACCCTCATTAACACAGACACTGGAATATAAGGAGATATTTTTCTTTCAGACCATTGGCACAATTTATCTATTTGGAGTGGTAACACACATTTATCTGTGTCTGAGCTCTGCAGCTACAGCCCGACAGCAGCAGTTCTAATGTCCTCCCCAACCTCACAGGCAGGGTAGAGTGGATCCTGCAGAGCCAGAAGAACAGCAAGCACTGAACTCGTGGTATCTTGCCAATAATTTGCTTGTCACTGACTGTATGTGGCTTCAGCACTAAAGGAAAGGCACTTATGACCCAAACAAATGCCAGGGCAGCATTATCAGATTGCAATAACCTTGGTGTTGGAGATGGTGAGACACATGTGCAGTGTGGACTGGTTTGCTTTGCTTGCCTGCCTTAAATATACAGACAGGGTCATTTTACTGCAGGGATAGCTTTTTTTTTTTTCATTTTTCTTTACAGTCCAAATGACAAGGCTGATCAGGGGATGGAGGCCCTTACAGATTTCAGATTAACAGAATGAATAAGCAAATGGAACCAAGGGTAGAAAACAAAGGTCACAGTTAAAGGATTGAGTTGGGAAGAGCAGACGTGCTTAAATATGTGACAGATCCACAAACAGCCTGCTAGAAACATTTACTTGGCAGCATTTAATTATTAACAGCAAAAAAAAAAAAAAGACAGGGAGAAAGCTGTTTTTCCTTTTCCTGGCTGCAGGAACACCTGTAAACTTTCAAATATTAATGACAGAAAAGACATTCAGGACAAGGATTCCCAAAAGCTAATTATTGTGCAATACTATCCACGGCCATTTTGCAAATTACAAAGGATACAAGTATCACGTACTGCTTGGAAGGAACAAAGAGCTATCATAAAATGTTGCTGAAGTCCTTGGATTCAAGTTGTCAGTGCTGTTCCCGAGTAACTACCTTGGAGAGAAGTCTTTTGCAACAGTCTAACTGCTAGTGATTGCAGAAAGAAGGAAATTCCAAAACCAGGGAATTCCCTTTTCTAGTAATACAGTTCCCTAGATGTGATCCATGTAATTTCTGTGCTCTGGGTATTCCTGGATGCTCTGACAATGCTGCTGGGATTTCCTGTAAGCCAGAAAAGCTCTGAGATGCTCCAGCTTCCTGTAGGCACCTTGCAGGTGCCTCCTACTGCCCTAGGACACCCCTAGACATGCTGCATCCCCTTGGCTATTGCTCTCCTGCTCACAGGCCCAGAGAGGCAGAGAAGCATTTTGGCAGGTACCCTAAATCTGATGTTTGGGTGGTGGGGAACACTTCGCAGTCCCAATACTCCAGCAGCAATTTTCACTGAAGGACAGGCTGTACAGACATACATATGTTTCATAGAGCAGCTCCTGGAGGAAGACCAACGTGAAAACAAACCCTTAACAAAATTTTACTTCCATTTCAGAGATCTTAAAACCCTGAAGGAAGAGGCCGCAGAACACAAGTGCTGGGTTTAGAGGACCCACCGCCCCTCCGAGGGGCCTGGCCAGCAGGACAGGCGTGAGCTCTGGGTGAGCACCACCAGCCACCGGGGGATCCTCTCCGCCTCACCCCCAGCTTTGCCCACGTTCCAGGGACTGGAACAGGGTGGACCCGCACTGGAGGCACTGGAAGGCACTCACAGGCCATTTAACCCGCACACACCGCAGCAGCCCCCGGGCGCTGCCCAGAGCCCCCGCGGCCACCCACTCCTCCGGGGGGCTCCAGAGCCCACGGGCAGACACGGCCTCCCCCGCAGCTCCCGCCCGGCCTCGCACGGGCACGGCGGGCGACCCGCGGCCCGGACACGGGGCCCGGAGAAGGCCAGTTCGGGGCCGCCCCCCTCCGGGGTCCAGCCTGGCCGCTCGCGAGGAGATGCGGCCGCCCGGCCCCGAACTCCATCCCTCGCCCGGCCTCCCCCGGAGCCGCGCCCTCACCGCCCTCAGCGCCCTCTCCGCGCTCCGCCGCCGCCGAGCCGCGTCCGCCGGGACGGGGGCGCGCGCGGCCCCCGCGCCTGCGCGGAGGGGGCGGTGGCGGGACGGGCGCGCGCACGCGGTCCCCGGCGGGCGGGGCGGGAGCGCGCGAGGCTCCCTGAGGGCGAGCGGGGCTGTGAGGGGCCATGGGGGGGCGTGAGGGGTGATGGGGGGTGTGAGGGACTGTGAGGGGCCATGGGGGCTGTGAGGGTGATGGGGCCTGTGAGCGGCTGTGAGGAGTGACAGGAGCTGTGTCGGGCAATGGGAGCTGTGAGGGATGGGGCAGGTTTGAGGGTCTATGAGGGCCTGTAAGGAGTGATGGGGGGCGGTGAGGACCTGTGAGGGTTAATGGGGGGCTGTGAGAGGTGGCTGTGAGGGATGGTGGGAGCTTTGAAGGGTCAGGCTGTGAGAGGTAACAGTGAAGGACTGTGAGGCATCAGGGGGATGCAGGGCAATGATGAGCAGCTGTGAGAGGTTATGGGGACTGTGAAGGTGGTTGGGGTGGTGGTTGAGGGGCAGTGTGGGCAGACAATGCAGTGGGAGCAGTGTTGTGATAAGAGTATAGAAATTTGGCAGAAAAACACCCTTGTTGTTCAGCTGGTCTTTGGAGATCAGAGGGGCTGGCTGGGCTTAATCTCTGATTATAACCAATTTGGCACTGTAAGTGGTTGTGTTCGATAGGAACTTCTGCGAGCACAGGTTCTCAAACTGGGAGTCTGGTGATATTCTATCAGAACTTTCACCATCACAAATTCATGAATAGCGTAGTTTACTGAAGCAGCAGAAATACAAAGGAGAATGGCTTCAAACTGAAAGACAGTAGGTTTAGATTAAATATTAGAAAGAAATTCTTTACTGAGAGGTTGCCCAGAGAAGCTGTGGCTGCCCCATCCCTGGAAGTGTCCAAGGCCAGGTTGGACGGGGCTTGGAGCAACCCGGGCTAGTGGAAGGTGTCCCTGCCCATGGCAGGGGGTGGGACTAGGTGAGCTTTAATGTCCCTTCCAACTCAACCCATTAATGAAATACAGATTTGGAATTGCCCTGGATAAATGCACTGGCTATGATAGGGCTCTAACAATAACAGTAGTATAGTGTTAGTCCAAGTAATAATAATCTTATGCAGAAATTTAGCAAGAAGCCTTGGGAGGAGAGAGAGGAGAGTAGCCCATCAACTGTCTCCAAGGTCCTTTTGGGTCTTCCTCCTAACTAGGTGAAATTTTATCCTCCATATATACAGCCCAATCTTAGCCCCCTGCTCCTTCTTCACATATAGCACGATCTAGGCAGAGAGCCTAGATGAGTCATATATGTGGGAGCATGTACTTAATTAAGTCTGTTAGCATATGCAGGGTGTGTGTTTTAATATATAAATGATGCTTAATCAGCAAAAAGTTACTTCCCCCCCCCCCCCCCCATGGTGTCCTTCAAAGTTCTGGTCATACAACTTTGTTCTCTGTTGTTCTGTTCCTCAGAGCCGGACTGTATCTCCACAGGACCTGCTCCTCTGGCCAGCTGAGCCTTTCCTGACATCAGCTGTGCAGATCTCCAGCCACAGAGATAACTCAGAGGATACACAGCATAGGCTGCAGATATTCAGCCCTAGCCCTTGCCTGGCTCCTTGGTCATCATCCCACAGACAGCAGTGAGGGGTGAGGAGGCCTTGGGGTGTGTTTCTGCCCTGTGGGCTGGGAAAAGCTCAGGGCAAATACTGGATACAACTATTGCTTTAGGAAAGCTTTAAAATCTGACTACTTTTGTGCTCAGTAACAATGTGACTGCTTTTTTTGCAAAGCCTACAATGTCCGGGACAGAAATTGGTTCATTTTAAAGATGGAGGATTTCCATAGTGTTTATTTGACTTGGCTTGGCAGCAGTGTTCTGTTTACGACTGGATAAATAACTGCCACATTAAAGATTATTAACTAGCAATGCTTCAGTGACCAATAAAGTACTAATCTTTTATATGGTGTTGTAAATGTACACAGCTTGGTAACGCAGGATCTTGCCAAAGAGATAACAAATCCCTTACCCAGAAGGTTTACAATCTTAAGGAAACCACAAAGGACCACAAGGAAAGTACAAAGCATGATAATGAAACATAAAACACACAGAGGACTTGTAGCCGTTGCAGCTGGATTTTAAACGGGGATCTTAAGAGGGTTTTTTGTATTTACCTTAAAGCTACTGGGCAGTGATTAGAGGCAAGATAAAATCCTAGAGTTGTTCGTGTTGGAAGGGACCATAGAGATCATCCAGTTCCACCCTCTGCCGTGGGCAGGGACACCTTCCACTATCCCAGGTTACTCCAAGCCCCATCCAGTTAGGCTTTGAACACTTCCAGGCATGAGACAGCCACAGCTTCTCTGGGCAACCTGTGCCAGGGCCTCACCACTCTTCCCTCTTTCAGTTTAAAACCATCACCCTTGTTCTATTGCTACAGGCCCTGCTAAAAGAGTCTGTCCCCATCTTTCTTACAGGTCCCTGTTAAGTCCTGCAGAGGGACACAGCACACACTGTGACAGGGTGAGTGGGGTCTTGAGCACTGCTGTGCCCCTGCCCCTGCTGGTGGCCAGGCAGGGCAGTCCCACTGCTCCAAGGAAGGGCTAAGCTCCAAATTGGTGGGAAGCACTGAGCAGCCCTCCTGAAGTGCTTCCTTGTGACTGGCCAATGCTGCTGTGGAGAGCAATGAACTGGTGTCATGGGGCACATGCCAGAGCCATTTCCTGAAGCCATTTGTTTATTCACATGTTAAGTTGGAAATATAGTACATCATTTTATATTCACTTGTAAGCTCTGTAGAGTCCTAGAGGGCAGTTCCACACATGGAAAGGATTATGTTCCCTGTGCTAAATGAAGCTGAGCTTGCAAGGAAAGCAGGCTTAGAAGAGGATGAAAGTAGATGGAGAGGTGTGGGAACAGAGATAAGCGTGGGCAGCATTTGGTAAGATTTTGTAGGAGGATGAAAAACTTCCATCTGTCTTCAGCATTTATAGGTCCTTTCCCTGTAGTACGTGGGGCCTGTGTAGTCTGTATATTTGGGCCCATGGTGCCTCTCTGAGGGAAAGCAGGGCTGATATTCCCATGTCCCTCCCAGGAAATGGCAGCTGAGGGAAGGTGTTCACAAAAGGAGGCAAAAAAAGCTGGGAATTGACAGGCTTTAGGAAAGCAAGAGCAGGCACAGGGAGAGGGATTGGATTCCTGGAATCATTTCTCTACTGAAATGTGAACTGTGACTGGAACTGAACATACCTTTTAGCCAGATATATGTTCTCAGTGTACTGAAAGTAGCAATAATTGAAGGCTCTCTCCAAACTTCTGTCTTGATACTCAGTGGTGCACTATCAAGAGATGTTTTAGGAGTGTAGTGGTGACACTTTTGTTGCCAAAGCCTCTGCATTGTCCAATGGTTTTACCTAATTCCAGTACTCTGGGTGCCATAGGGGGTAGTGTTCAAGAAGGCAGAGCCCTGCACAGAGAGATCAGCATGGGGACATCCTTCAGGAGGGGGGCCTGTGTGATGGCAGGATAAAAGGAGACAGCAGTCTGTGGGCTTGTCATCATGGTTAGGCTTCACGAACAAAGATTTGGGAAGGGCTCTACCCACGTTTCTTGCAAGCACGTTGGTGGCTAAAAAGGCCAATACGAGAAAGGCAAGTCTGGTTGCAAAAGGCACAGCAGAAAGACTCCTTAGATGGTATATTCTGCAAGGCTCGATTCTTTCTGCGTTGTCTTTTCTCCTCCAGAGTGATCCTGTGTGCTTTCTCAAAAGCATCAGCAGCGTTATAAATGGTCTGTCTCCAGGCCTCCTAATTGGAGGCCAGAGTGGACCAGTTATGGTGATCAATGTGCCTGAGGCTGAGTTGTTGCTTCAGGGAGTCCTTGTATCTTTTCTTCGGGGCTCCTCTCATGCGGCAGCCAGTGGCAAGTTCACCATAAAGCAGGATCTTAGGGAGGGGGTGGTTGGTCCTTCATCCTGGAGACGTGCCCTGCCCAGCACAGCTGTGTTCTCAGCAACATGGCCTCAATACTTGTGATTGCTGCCTGTTCTAGAACAGATGTATTGGTCACATAATCTGACCAGTGGATGTTCAGGATTGTACAGAGGCAGCGTTGATGGAGCGTTCTAGGAGACGCAGGTGGTGGCGGTAGATGACCCATGATTCAGATCCATATAAGAGAGTAGACAGCACTATGGCTCTGTAAACACTGATCTTGGTACTTTTCTTCAAGTGTTTATTGTGCCATACTCTTTTATGGAGTTTTCCAAAAGCACTATATGCCTTCGCTAACCTGTTGTCTATCTCCCCGTCAATCTCACCATCCGAGGAGATGAGGCTGCCAAGGTAATTGAACTGTTGGACTGATTTGAGCTCTGATTGGCCGATGGTGATGTGGGAATGGTGGGGGACTTCCTGAGGTGCAGGTTGATGGAGAACTTCTGTCTTCTTTAAGCTGACTTCCAGCCCAAAGAGCTCAGCACCGTCTGCAAAGCAGGATGTTAAACGCTGCAGGGCTGCTTCTGTGTGGGCAACAAGGGCAGCATCATCAGCATAGAGCAGCTCCTGGACAAGATGGTTTAAGATCTTAGTGTGGGCCTTCAGTCGCCTTAGGTTGAAAAGGCTTCCATCAGTACAATATCCAATGTAGATACCGTCCTGATCCTCAAGGTCTGCCGTGGCACTTTGGAGCATCCTGCTGAAGAAGACTGTGAATAGGGTAGGAGCGAGAACGCAGCCTTGTTTCACGCCATTCTTTATTAGAAAGGGCTCAGAAAGTGTGTTGCCATATCTGACTTGGCCGTGCTGATCCTCATGAAGTGAGATGATCATTTGAAGGAACTTGGGGGGACAACCTAAACGTTCCAAAATCTGCCACAGACCTTTTCTGCTCACAGTATCGAAAGCCTTGGTGAGGTCGACAAAGGTTACATAGAGACCTTTGTTCTGTTCCCTACACTTTTCTTGCAGTTGTCTGAGAACA